ATGTGAAACGAGGCAGTGAGATGATTTTTTTCATCAAAATGAAAGAAAATAATGTTGACAAAGGATGAAATAATGGTCTTAAGAGTTTTTGTAGGTGGCTTTTAAAAACGATTTATGTCAACCCTAGAAAGACTGTTTCATCATCCTACCTCCCTGTAGAAACCAGCCACCAGTTCCCTTCTCTCCCTACCCTGCCGCGCCGTCTGCCTATAGGCTCCTCTGATCCTCGACTCATTCTTCCACCTCCAGCAATTAGCCTCTGGAGGTTAGCCTTGGCTAACCATAGCCTCTCGCTGCTAATTTTTCCTAGCAGGCTTCTCAAAAGTACTTCTGTCTGCTTCCCGGTCAGCACTAGCCTCTCCTCTACCTTCAGCATCCTGTTTCCTCAGCTGAATCTTTTGCTCTGCTTGGATCCTCCACATTTAGCCTAACTAGCCTCAGTCAGCTATAACCTCTCCTCTTGATGCGTCTTATCTCCCCACGCCGTTGCAGTTTCCCGATTAATCAGTTAATAATCTTACAGCAAAATGTTCCTTAAAAGAGATTTTTTAATGAAATTAAAACAGTTGAAACTAAAACTTTTCCACGTCTGAATAGAGTACAGTTTTTGAAAATAAAAAAGTTTTTATCTTAAATACAAAATGTTTACATATTTTTAAACAATTTTGATATAATATTTCTACCGTAAGTTGGTTCCTCTGTCAGCTAAAGCCCTTTTTTTAATCTATTGTCCAGTTAACAATTATTAGATTCTAAATTAGTTGACGATTATTTCACTAATCCATTAATCAAGATTAATCTTAACTATTATTTATATATATATATATATATATATATATATATATATAATTTATTGGGTTGTTTTTTAATTTTAATTGGTTTTTAGAGGAAATCTTTTAGAGAAAAACTTCATAGAACTGTAGCTTCTAGATGTATTTAAGGTCTGCTAAAAGCTTCTGTTGTTTTTGACCTGTTGCATGTTTCTAATATCTGATCACTGCCTCCCACTCAACACACCCCTCCTCCTTCTTCTTCTCTGTGTTGTAGAGATTCAGACCATTCAAAGGGCCTCATTCTATGACAATGTCACATGTCTGGATGAGCCAGAAGGTGAATGACTGGGCTGCGCCTGAGCAGACCTGGGCCAAAATATCAAGAGCTGCATCATTAATCAGGGGCTGAATAGCAGCACAAGTTTAAACCGATCCTTTGGGTCGTGCTGCTGTATTTTTGCCCAGATCTGCCTGTAGCTGGTGCCGTGCATCGTATTGTATCCGAAGTGGCTCCCATTTGCTTCCAGGCTGCATGGCTTATTTGGCCGAGCCAAACTCAGCGGCCCCTCGCTGGGAAATAAGTCTGAGCTAGAATAGCTTGCTTTCCTTAGTTGTATTTGTGTTTTAACTGTAGTTTTAGAGGCTTTAATTAAAGTAATCCCAGCAGCTTTATTAAGAGCCGTCAGTAACAAATGAAGAATATTTAATAACTCAGCAGGAAATGAAAACCAGATGCTGGTTTTGGCTTTTTTCTTTGGCTTTAAACTTACAATCAAAGGTCCAGATAGCAGACCACTGACACACAGAACGTTTCATTTGATTTAACCTGCTAAGGCTTTAATATGTTTCATCATTTATATGGAACTAGGTGTGAAATGATTGGGGAACTTTCTTCACCTTTTATGATTATAATTCACAGGGAACAGTCCTGTTGAACATTCTTTGTTTGCCTTTTTAGAGCTTTAATCATTTTCTTGTTAGAAGTGTTTCATCTTTGGAAGAAATAAAGCTTCTTTTTCTTTCTGAATCCAAAAAATAGATTCACAATGAAATCAAAACTTGGATCCATAAAGGGTTCCTTAGAGAAGCTAAGACCAGATTGGTTTACTAAACACCTGCATCCATCCTGTCTGTGGTCCAAGCTCTCTGGGTTAATAGTTGCTAATAGTTGCATCTTTGGTCTGTATAAAAAAAAAACATTAAAAATCTGAACAAAAACCAGGAGATTTAAACATAAATACTTATTTTAAAAGTTTCTTTTTAGATTGTATTTACTGGA